AGGCGCGGCGCGCTGCTGGCGCGGGGTATCGCTGCCGCGCGTCTGGGCTGGCGGCTGGATCTACACGCGGGGTATCGCCACGGTGGATAATTGGAGCTCCTGACTTAGTGCACAGAAAGGGTGGTGGAAGGCTCAAAAGCCGTATCACCACAGTATCATGTAGTCGAGACACTACACGTCATGTTGCATGAGAGCGGCATGGCACAGAGGATAAGTGCGCTGCTTCTCAACCTGAAGGTCGGAGGTTCGACTCTCCTCAAGTGCAACGAGTTTTCATCGTCCGAAGGGAAAGGTGAAGGGGAAGGACGATCGGGAGTGGCAAATTGAGGTCAAGCTAACACACTTGCGTTCAAATTTTTAACCAAAATTTTTAACGCTGAACATGGGACGTCCCTCGGTGGTCCGAGGGACGTCCGCCGGGATAGTCCCTACGGACGTCTGCGGCGGACGTCCGCGGAACGTCCACCCGGGACGTCCGGTTCGGACGTCCCTCGGACCTCCAGGGGACGCGTTTTCTTTGCCATCCGGAGGTCCCCTCGGACGTCCGACCGGGAGGTCCGGGTATTCCCGGCCGGACGTCCCTCGGACGTCCACGGGACTATGTTTTGTTGACTGGGTAATAAATAAACTAGGGGTACGCGCCGTTTAGTTTGGGCGCGTAGTAGGCGAGCGATGCGTCTGAACACATTCTTATAGGAGATGGCGAAGAATATGTGGAGAATAAGGCCAATACAGTGTCTTCCGTCACGAAAAGGCCGGAATTCATGTCATTTTCGTGATTATCTTACTGAAAACTGCAGGAAACAATGGGAAACTCAACTTTGTAATTTTGGTCACAAATTGGTAAATTTTAGGAAAAGGAAAGGTCTGGGATGAAATTGGAAGTCATTTTCGTGATCAGCACACCAAAAACTGCAGGAAACTATGTAAAACTCGACTCAAAAATTTTGGTCCAAAATTGGTAAAAATTTGGAAAAGTAAAGGTCTGAGATGAAAATTTTAAGTCATTTTCGTGATCAGCACACCAAAAACTGCAGGAAACTATGTAAAACTCGACTCAAAAAAATTTTGGGCCAAAATTTGGGAAATATTTGGAAAAGTAAAGGTCTGAGATGAAATTTGGGAAATCATTTTCGTGATCAGCACACCAAAAACTGCAGGAAACTATGTAAAACTCGACTCAAAAATTTTGGGCCAAAAATTTGGGAAATATTTGGAAAAGTAAAGGTCTGAGATGAAATTGGAAGTCATTTTCGTGATCAGCACAGCAAAAACTGCAGGAAACTATGTATAACTCGACTCAAAAATGTTGGTCCAAAATTGGCAAATATTTGGAAAAGTAAAGGTCTGAGATGAAATTGGAAGTCATTTTCGTGATCAGCACACCAAAAACTGCAGGAAACTATGTATAACTCGACTCAAAAATTTTGGTCCGAAATTGGTAAATATTTGGAAAAGTAAAGGTCTGGGATGAAATTGGAAGTCATTTTCGTGATCAGCACACCCAAAAATGCAGGAAACTATGTAGAACTCGACTTCAAAATTTTGTTCAGAAATTGGTAAATTTTTGGGGAAAAATAATGGTCTGGGATGAAATTTGGGAAATTATTTTCGCAATTTCTAAGTGTGTTTCCTGTTCATTGTGTCGTAACATGAACCCTAACACTGTTACTCAGTCGAGTAACATTCAACAGCCAGCATTGAATTACTTAATACGATTCACAAATGCTTCAATTACCATTCGATATCTCCTTGTTATTGAACTTATGAATACACAATGTTATAAGTAATACCTAAAAAGCCTTTTTTTCCCTTTTTTTTAAACTAGTGGATGAAACTTCATTGATTTATCTCAATTCATTAAAAAGAGACACATTTACAGGCAGGCTGATTGCAACTACTTTACGGAGAAGACCTTCTGTCAGATCCAAGAATCGTTCCATTGAATTCAATGTCGAGCCCACTTATTGCTAAACGCAAGTTAATCTTATTCATAATGATAGTCATGATGTGATATTTAATCTTTAAAACAGTATAGCATAAGTATTTACCTAACATTTTGAATAAATTAAAAAGACAGCCAACTCAAACCATAACTGACACAAATTACCAGTTGTCGCAGACAATGTATGATGAAGTTAAAAGAATCGTCTCATGAAATCATATGACCAAGTCACTGAATCGTCTCATTGAATCAGATGTCAATGTCAAACCATGTATGCGCTACTCTCACTCACCATATAGTTATCTTTAAGGTTAGTACTATAGTAAACTTACAGCATTGCAATGAAGCCTTTCCCCCGAGTCAGTGCCAAGAGTCAGCAAAGATATTTATTTTTGGGAAGATTAGTGTCTGGTTTGTACTTTTAGATTGCATTGATCTATTTTCTAACTGTTATTGAGCAAAGCAAACAACTAAAAAGTATAATGTCTGAGAATAAAAATGGAAATACACTCTCAAAACTTAAAAAGACCAAATCATTCTTGCAATTATCAAACGATCAAACACACTCCACTGACTAAAACATTTCCCCTGTGGCGGGGGAGGGGAGGGGGGGGACGGACGAAACGCGTAATAATTGTCATTTTATTTTCCGTATTTCACTGTGTTGACACTCCGGAGGGGGTTTTAATCATTCTAGAATATCGAAAAACTAAGACCCAACTCACTTCTAAGCCCTTCTCCTCTCTATTTTGTTTTATTTGCCAATGTTTTGCCAGTCCCGTATTTGAGAGCCGCGGCCGCAAGTATGAAAAATTGCTATATATGCTGCCAACCTAACCACGCTAAGAACCTAATTCAAAAAGATGTTTTGAATATTTCAAACGGTAGTAATCGTGAATATAAAATAAACTCCCCCTGTGGGACCTTTAGGGGATGTTCGGTGCAAAATTTGGTAACTATTAGTGTTGTAGTTGCTGAGAAACGTGAGCGTGTACGCTACAGACAGACAGACGCACGACCAGTCACTTTTCGGAGCGCCCAAACACGGCAAGGGCTCGCTATCGCTCGCCAACTAACCCAATCTTTGATTAAACTTCGTTCTCTTTACCAAAACTATCTAAAACTAACGTTTTTTTCATCGCAAAGTAACATTAGGGCAGCCGTTTGCCCTGCCTTGGTAAAAGTCAGAAACTGTACTGACATAAAGGGAGGTCAATGAATTAACTATCTCAGCCTTCGATTAAATTGCGTTCTCTTTACCAAAACTATCTAAAACTAACGTTTTTTAAATCGCAAAATAGCATAAAGGCAGCAGTTTGCAGTGCCTGGAGGAAGGTCAGAATGTGTCCGGACATAAAGGAATTTCCGATGATATACGAACCCAGCTTTTGTTTAAATAACCTTTTGCGCATCAAAACAATTCAAAACCAACAAGTCTTTATCTGAAAATGGACTGAAGACAGCCGCTGGCACTGCCCGGATAAATGTCAGAAAGTGTACGGGCATAAAGGAAAGTCCATTAATATATAAACCCAGACTTCGTAAAAATTGCGTTTATTATATCAAAACTATTCAGAACTAACGTGGTTTAAAACCAAGATGCGCCCGAGGTAGCCGTTTGCTCTGCCTGGCGAATCGTCAGAATCTGTACAGACCTGAAATTAAGTTTTAAAATAGAACTAAACTATTATTGCTGGAAAAGAGTGTTTCAATGCAAAACAATTCTCAACTAACACAGTTTCACCTCGATACGGCGTTAAGAGCACAGGCTGCGCTGCGTGGGGCAGTCTGAGAATTTGTACGAACAGTTGCATCATTTTAAAAAAAAATTAAGGTTCTGTTTTGCCGAAATGTTATTTTGATGATAAAACTATTCGAAACTCACAAAATTGTGAAGGGTTACATGTCTACAGGGTCTTCTGAGGAAGAACCGAGTTTGAGTCCGGCTATCTTCTTCTCACTTGCACACGCGCGCTAGAATTCGGTGAACACTTTCAGCGAAACTTAAAACTAACCAAAACTAAGTGCAACTAACGAAATACTATCGTTTAGACGTAGTCCGGTTTCGTTGGGCTGGTCTTGTCGGGACAGGTTCATGGGGGTCGGCCGGGGCGTCGACCCGGACGCAGCCGCACCGCGAGTCCGAGAACGCGGCCGAGGCCGTGCGCGTGGCCATGCACGCCAAGTGCGTGCCGCCGCTGGGGTTGCACGGGAAGCAGTCCGCCCCCGTCGCGTAGTTAGGCCGATTAGGCGTTATGGGATCGACAACAACGAAGTTGGGGCAGATCGCGCCGGCCCAGAACGTGGCCGAGGGGACAGGGGCCGGGGCCCGCAAGTAGGCGCACCGGCAGGCAACGTACAAAACGCGTGCGAAGGGAACAATCACGGCCAACCAGCCCGTGACGTCGAGCAAGTAGAAGGTGGAGACGAGCATGGCGACGATCAGGGTGTTCCTGCGGCGCGGTGCCGAGGCCGTGAAGCAGCGGGATTCGGAGAGGCAGTTTACCGCCCCCGTCCCGTTGTCAGGCCGTTGAGACGCAATGCTTTCAACGAACACGTAGGAGGCCCCGAACGCCAAGCGCAGCAAGGGCAACGACGCGTGAGGGACCACGGCGTACAAGCCGGCGCGCAGGGGCGCGACAACGAGATGGATCGGGACGGCAATCCCGATGATCATGGCGAAGACGACGAGTACCACAGGGCGCCACGCCGTCGCCACCGCGTACACCCGTACCGCCGCGAAGATAGGCGTGAGCAGCAACAAAACTTCCAGCCGGTGCATTTCTACCGTTTCATGCGCGAAATTCTTAACAGGCCCCCGCCAGTACAGAGCATTCCAGCACCCCAAGTAGATACATTCGCTCTCAACTCAGGAGAGGCACCGCCATTCAATGGCAGCACGGGTTACGATGTTTACAGGGCACAGTTTCTAAGTGTCGCAGAACACAAAAACTGGTCAGAACAGGATAGAGGGATTTTCTTACTGCGCAACCAAGGTCATTAGAACCTTAACTACTCAGAATAGGCCATTGACATTTGTCAATTTGGATGCACAGTTGGAGGACACTTTCCATATCCGGAGAGAGTTGTGGGAAAGGACTCGAGTTTACGAGTCACTTAAGGTAGTAGGAGCGTTACTCAAAAGTTAAGATTTTATCATGAAAATCGCACAGCATATGCATTTAAATCCCCTGAGTCTAGATCCGCAGAGAAAATAATACGTCACCGGCGAAAATCATGAGTTTGGAGTAATTGAAATTAGCATGTGGCCTTATGTGATTGAGGTTATGTTGCCCACGGTTGCGGAACAGAAATACTTGTTTTCAATACTTCTAGTAAAGATAAGTTAAAGATTTCTTCGACAAAACCTGTGTTTTAAGGCACTCTATTAGCTAAAACAAAGAAAACCGCGCCTACCCGTCCGATTTTCTGCACAAAACTACAAAATATGTGATTTAGCAGACGAGACCGAAGTCAAGTGCACAACTAACGTCACTTTATAAATTCGCTGCGCCCGAATATCGCAATGTAACGGCTCCCAATTTGTATTTTCGGTAGTTAGAACTGTTTGACAAAGCAAAGCAATTTTTTTGGTGGCCACTACTACGTTTTTAAAAACTCGACTCTCGCTTGACTAGCAAGCATCGCTCCTACTACCTTAAGCAAGAAGAGGGACAGACTCTGAGAGCTTACGCTCAGAAAGTTAAGGAAGCTGTGGTTGATTACATGCCAAACAGCAATCAAATTGATAGGGACCAAGCCGGAGTTAAGGCTTTCATCAAGGGGCTAACAGATAGGAAAATGGCAGAGCGCATTTGCTATGCATCAGTCAACTCAGTGGAAGATGCACTTACCCACGTAAATAGAGCGCTGTCTTTGACCTCAGAGACACACAGCAAAAAGGTTTGGAAGGTAGAAGTTGAAGGCTCCGACAGTCAAACTGATGTCAACTATGCAGACCAGGAGTCAGCACCTGCAAAAAGTATAAAAATGAGTAAAGGCAGGGGTAGAGGTAGGAGTAACTATTCCAGAGGGCAATTTAACAACAACGAACCCCCAGGCCAATGTGAAAGGTCTGCAAAAGTACCACCAGATTTTTATCAAGCAGCCATGTCATGGTATAATCAGGGCAAAGAGCACCAACAATAAAAACTTAGATAGGCAGGTTGTCACTCAATTGACAACCAAGTAAATATTCTGGTAAGAATTTCTACAGACTCGATAAAAATAGTGTTCTCAAATAATGTAGTAACATCGTAAACTAAACTCATAAAAAATTGGAAATTTACATGTCGCCATTGATTAATACTTAAGCTTGCAAACACCAGTCCACATCAATAAGGACAGTGTCGACCCAGCTAGTAAGTTAAAGTGCGCAGCTTGTTTACCCTGTGAGAAAGGCCTTCTGGTAAATTGCATTGTGGCAAGTTAAGCCAGAGAAGCTACCATTGACACGAGAGCCACTATTACTGTTTCTAAAGGACTCAAAATTGCCAGTTTTAAATTACGTCTTTACGTGCAACTTCACACAAGACATTACAGTGTGGACTGGAGTGGACGGACATTCAGTCTGAAAACCAGACTTACTGATTGGTATATGCTTCCAATTAACGAAGCTCACATGACAAAAATCAATTTAAATGTAATTTTAGTGACACATTTGGAGATGTAGTCAACACCAAAACTTAAATGCTGGAACTTGAAAATGACATTCAAGTCTAATGCGAAATAGTTAACTCAGAACATAACGGAAAATTCACAAGTGCAAATTTGTCCTACCCAATGCATGCTCATTAAAGATCTTGCTGGAACCTTTTGTACAGAGGCAGGTTTCCACGAAGTTGGAAACTGACCTGGTGGTTGATGAGTCGGAATAGTCCGACGCGTTGCTTGCCATGACGATTAGTGGGTATAGTCGCCGTCCGGAGCTGGAAAGGAAACTGTCCACTTCTGCTTCACCTCCGGAAACGAAGTGCCTCACAGTAACGTCTCAGGCAAGAGCGGAGGGGGCTGATCATCGCCAGCTTGACAGCCAGACCGGTCATCGCCAGCTTGACGGTCTAGAAACAAAGAACAAAACCATGGTAAAAAAAACAAGAAGGAAAGACATCAAAGAATTGATATCACATGGGAGGGACTCGTTCTTTACAAAGCTAGATTGATGTGTCAGTCGCTGATCGTTACATGAATTGTCCTCTGACGATTTGTAATTTTGCATTTTAACGAAAGCTTCCGGTTGGTTCTCCTCTCAGGCAGGGAACATCGATGCATCGCGATATCTCGAGATATCGATTCTCGTGCATAATCGAATTTACACTAGAGTCCGTGACTCCGTGCCAAAAACCTGCGTTTTCCATGACAAAAACCCTCAGAAGGACACATTTATTAAAAAAAGAAGTCAAATGAAACTTATTATTTCGTCTCTCATCTCCAACATAAGACATGCAACACCTGCCAAGAAACTTTCATTAGGAAGAAACAGAGATAAATGCTTACTATACAGAGATGTGCGGCTGCTATGCTGGGACTCGTCCTATGTCTGTTAGAGCCTGTGATTGGCCGGCGGAGGGGAGCGCCCTGATTGGCTGCCGCTCCCCCCACCCTTCCAAATAGTAGTTTGCGCCAACGGTCGGAAATTCAAACGAGGTACGCCAACAGATATCGTTATTATGATTGTAATTTCATTAAAAGTGCGGTGTTTGTACTTAAATAATTGTTCTTTGTGTTCCGGTGAACATTTTAAGCCATCCGGATGTGTGTTAAAAGAGATGGGGTGGTTATTCTCATGCAAAATGCGGCGTCGGTCAGGCGTCCTTTGCAGGTGCCTGTTTTGCGATTGATTTGCTTGGCACAAAGTCTCTCGAGCAATTCCAGAGGCTGTTGAATAGTGAAATCATAATTGTGACAGTGCTTTTGTGCGTGCACCGTGGTCTGAAACGTCAATTTTAATCGCTTAGTTGCGTGCCGAGTGAAGGCTATGACAGGCGTCCCTAACCTGCAGCCTGGTCTCATTTGCTGTTGATTTTAAGACTTTTGGGTACTTTTTGAAGTGATGTCAGGCGATTTTATTCGCACCGAAGGTCGCTTCGTTGCTTTTGTGTGCGTACGGTTGCCATACGTTCCTGTTCAAACTCATAAATTGAGTCTCAAACTGATGTCAGGCTGAGGCTGTATAGGGGGACTCGGCCCATCACTGGGCGTCCTTTGCTGTTGATTAATAGACAATTGGCTTGGGTCAGGGTCGATGTGAAGTGTTCTTATGGTCTTTGAGGGTATTTTTGTTGCTTTTGTGTGCACTGGGTTACTCTACAAACTAATCGACAAGAGTAAATTGCTGTCGCAAATTGGGTGCTATGTTACTGCCTATCGCAGTTTATCACACCCAGTTTCTGGCTGTTCCATTTCTAAATTTTTGTTCAATTCAGTTCCACAGAGTCAGTTTTTTTTAAATCGTATTGGCTCCTTTGCCTTGGTGGCATTTACTGGGAATCACACGCTAGGGCAACATTGCTCGTGATGGATTTTGTTTTAGTAATGTGTCTGGTCGTCTCATGAATTTTATCTCTGTTACAGCAGGTGTCGCCTTGTCCATTTCGAATCGTACTCCTGAAGCTTTCTCCACACCCAAGCGCAGTGCAGATGTTCGAATGCTGTCAGAGACATCACCCCTGACATCATTTTGACACCTGCGTTGCGCCTGGACTCGCAGCAATGGATGGATGCACTGTGTGAATGGATGGACGAATGAATGATGAATAAATAAAAGTGTGAATAAATGGACCAGTTTGTTCGGTGATACTTATTTAGGCTGCCTTACCAATCCTTGATACATTTATTACTTGCCGCCATCTCTAGTTAGCCACCTTTAACAGCTCCCAGGCCCTACTACACTGATTGCTGCTGACTCTACTGCATCGTTGCATCTGTCCCTTTGCCCAGTTTTACTTCAGTTAGGCATCCCTACCTCGCTCTTATTCTGTGTCTTGTCTACCCGACACAAATCCCTGCAAATGGATTTTTTTTTTGCGTGGGTTTTTTGGTTGCCCCAGATCAG